CCGCCCGGGCCAGGAGACGGCCGCCCCGCTGCCCGCTCCCAACGGCGCTCTCCCCGCAACGCCGCGCTTTAGGTAAACGGAAACGGGAAGAAGCGTTACCGAGGCAAAGGAGGGCGTAGGAGCCCGGGATCTTGAATCGGGTCAGATAGTGTAACGCTTACGCGAAATGGATCGGCGCTAAAACGGTGTAGTTGATCCACTCCCTGGTTCTCCCTCCACCGCTTTCCTCGGCTCTAACAGACCGTTCAGCTACAGCTGTGTCGTTTCCAGTGCGCACTGATACTTCTCTCTGCCCAGGAACAGCATCTAGCAGCCCTGGGAGGAGATTAATAGTCTTGCACAGTATGGGACAGCGCGCAAGGAAGGACAGGATGATCTCTGTCCTCTGAGAAGGGGCGGGAAGCCTGAAGCAGCAGCGGGACCTGCTCGAGGACACTGGCGCCACAGAGGTGGTAACTACCCCTACGTCGCGCACACCGAGGCTGTGCGCTGACAAGTTTGCTCTAAAGAGCGGCTGTAGGTCACGTGCCCTTCAAAGACAAAAACCCTCGCGGCAGGAGCAGCGCACAGGCAGTGATATTCAGAAAGGCCACTGGCTGGTTCACAGTGGAACGGGCAGGCTCGCTGGCAGCGGCGAGCCTCCCCGGCTCTTCCGGTAAACCCGCCTCTCCTGAAACCCCTCTGACGCCCTGAGGGTCTTATATACTTGAGTTCCAACTGAGAAAGCAGTTTCCTGTATTGTGACCTGCGTTGCTTCTGTCGCCCTCGTTTTTCCCTTGCAGAAAGATGTATCCTCACAACTGCTCACTGGTAACAGCGAGCCAAAGATTTTTAGTTTAACAAGCTCAAGGGAGGACAGCGTAGGAGAAAGCAGCATCAAGAAAGGTTTGAGAGAGGAAGCGGCATGCTTAAAATTAAAACTCAGGTATCATGATAAAATTTTGGACTCCAAGATTGCTTTATAGGAAGCCAGCAAGGACTATAGGAACTGGAAAAGAAGGTGAAAGACATGCCACATGCAGACAGGCATATCGGAATAAGTGACATTAAAATGGCACAGGCACAGTTACACACCCACTGTATCCCTTGATTACGCCTATGAAGCTATCTTCTTCCCACCTCCTTGCGGGCCAAGCAATGGCGTACAAGCTTTCCCCAAAACATTTCGGCCCGCCCCAGTTAGGAATCCATGTCTCTCTACACAAGGCTTTGTTAAAGCCTCGAAAATCCTCATTCCTCTGTCTTTATAGCATGCAGAAATGGAACAAGAGAACTCAAGTAAAGAAGTCACCGAAGAAGATCTCAGTGACGTGGATGTTGAAAAGGCCCTTCAGGAGCAGTCAGAAGCAGAGGTGCAGGCACTGCTGGCTAAGCTCACTGAACTCGAGAAAGCCAACCAAGAACTCTCTGAAGAACTACAGACAGCAAAAAATGACTATGACATGGCCACAGGTATCATGGGGAAAGGCAGCCAGAAACCTGAGACCATTTTTACTCATTCCCAAGTTTGTCCTTTTGCAATTCTGTTTCTTTTCGCTTGAAAAAAAATCTAGCTTAGGTTCTCTTGAGGGTGAAACCTCCTGCTTTCAATTGTTGCTTTCAGAGTGGTTCAGAAATGACACCTATTCTCAAACCACTTTCTCTCTCTCTCTCTCTCTTCTTAGAGGTGCATGAGGAAATCTTGCACAAAAAGTCCCGATCAGTATCCTGGGGTACCCAAAAGCATTTTGGCACTCTGGCAAACTTGTGCTTATGTAACTGGCAATACTAGTCTTCAGAATAGCTTCTACTCACAGGATGAGGTTAGATTAATTTATTATCTATCATAGCAAAGTACTATGACATGCATTATTAATTAATCTCATCGTGGCTGCAGTTTTAAGTTCATCCACAGTCTATACTCAGATGGTTATGACAGCAGGTCTGCTTATGCTTACTTGAAAAAGGCTTCATGCAGTTTTTAACAGGGATTCAGTTTACTTACAGTAGTACTCCAACTTTACAGGTGCTATCTCTTCCTTGCAAAGACATCTGGAGATCCAAGAATCCCAGCTTCGGAGAATCAAACACGAAAAGGAAACCCTCCAAAAGGAGCTCAGAGAGCGAGAAAATCAGCTACAAGCTATGTCTACCAAGGTAGTGCCCTGGCAGCACAGTGACCATTGCTGTTAAGGGAGCTGGCAGTGGGGAAGTCAGTCTTGGTGAAACAGTTCTTTTTCTAAGGAGACAGGAAGTTCAGTTTTGAACTGCAAATCTGAAGCGTAAAATCTTTTCTCTTAGTTTTGCAGCCTGAGAGAAGAACGGAAACACGAAGAAATGTTGGCGACAACAGAGAAGGAGAACTGCAGTCTTCGACAGGTGAATTTGATGCAAAGCTATGGAAAATTCTAGTATTGACCGCTCAGCTATGCTTGTTTTAGGCCTGGGGGCATCTGTGCCATGAAAAAAAATCCAAATGAAGTTACTGTGAATATCTTACTTCCCGAGTTTAATTTACTACTCGATTACTTTTTCTAATAACAAACTACTAATGGTTACTAGTAATGATAAGTTTTGTAAATCTGTAGATTCTGTCTGGGAAATACAAGAAGGATTTGGACCAGATATGGGAAAGATGTGGCTGAGCCTGATCACCATTCATTCTGTAATGGCTTGATTTTTATGTCTCCACAGACTGTTAGAAAACAAGAATCCGAACTGGCTGAGCAGAACAAGCTCATCAGTGATTTACAGAGCACAGTCAGCCAGCTGCAGGCAAAGGTTCTGGTCAGTCAGTACCACATCAAGGAGCAGCAACGTGCACAAGAGGCGATCCAGAGCCAAGCTGACACACTGCAGCACATGGAGCAGCAAACTAAAGTAGCACTCCAGTGCATCACCAGCAGGGTAAATGCAGCTTCTCTCACTTCGCGTTCCTCCCTCCCTCCCTCTTAAGAGGCACTTCAACCATTTCAAGCAGAGAATCAGAAAGCGTAGAGCCATTCCTGGGCAGAAGCGCAGCAGGAGACTTACCTGGGGACTGCAGTCCCTTGCTTTCAGGGCAGAGAAGGAAGCCGGATTTGCCTTTGCAACAACAGGCCTAAAGGAGCAGGCAATTCAGTCCGTTTGCTTCCCAACTTTTTAGCACGCATCTTGTTTCAGTGGCAAAACAAATAGGCTTTACATACCAGAAACGCTCAGGAAACTTGAATACAGAACTGTTAACATCCCCAGACTTGTAATATCCTTCCTGACGTAAAGTAACAGGTATCACCTTAACGCCATTTGGTGTGTGCAGACTCCCTGTGGGCCTAACTCAAGCCTGCTGTAGGAAGCACGGCTCCGATACCTGAAAGGTACTCAGTCCATCTGGAAACACATCATTATCGCAAAGTACACGCAGCTCCCAGTGAAGCACTCAAACTGTCCATGCCATACCCTGGCCGTAATTTCACAAAAACAGGCTTTTCATCATCACTCACTAGTAACTTGAAATTTCCAAGTCTGACAGCATAGAAGACATGTAAGTACCTCTGTCTCCTAGTAAACTCCACGCAAGTGCTAGGCAATCACGCATAAAGACTAAACATACCTACTTCTTTCCTCTTTTATCAAAAGTTTGAAAGATTTCGAAGCAAAATAATTCAGGCCACGTTCAGTACCGCAGGCAGCAAGTCTCCCCAGGCAGAAGTGACTGATGAGGAGGTGCTGGAGGCAATGCAGGTATGTGGCTGGTTGGAGTTCTGCTTCTCTGAGCTAGCGGGGAACTGATGGGACAAGAAAACTCTTCAAATACCACTGTCGCTCTAACGCTTTTGTATCCCTTTGCACATCTCTGATTCTCAGAAAATAATTAATGACCGGATGGAGTTCCATCAGATGCTGAAACAGAAAGGTGTCAAGGTCCCATCTCTCTACGGCCTCGACACGTCTACTTCATCTCCTACCAGTTCTAAGAGTAGCAGGAGGAGTCCCTTGAAGTAGTATCTTCTGATGCCTGAAAACAAATCCTAACAGCTGAGTCAGTCCTTCAGGCTCCTATCGCTTTGCTTTCAGACAGGGACTTACTGACAAATTAAACTGTTTAATTTGACCTAAATCAAGTTCTGCAGCAACATCTAGATTGTTATCCGATGATGAAACTGGGGATTCTGAGCACTATTCATCTGTAGGAGATGAAACTGGGAATAATCCTACAGATGAATAGTGCTCAGAATCCCACTTCACAAGGGAGTTTTAAGTACTACTTAGTGCCGATCAGATAAAAGTAAGCAGAAGAAGTTAAGTTACCGTTTTTGTGGCATACAATAGCTGCTTTGGCAAATTTACTTCTTTGTTGTCAGTTGCCCTCCTTGTCCATATAATCACATATGTAAAAGGATACATCACTAAGTTTCTCTAATTAGGATCAGGTCAGCCTTGCAAACCTGCCAAAATTTAGTAGTCCGATCCATGTCTTTTAGGAGAGTTAAGACAACATTGATATTAAAACACTCTAGAGAGATCACCAGTGCCAAGCTCAAAATTCAGTAGCTGGCGATCCTTCTTTACCTTGGCAAACTCCTGGTCTGGGCTTTTATGCTACTTCCCATTTCACTGCCCATTCTCTTCCCTTGACGATGGGACAGAATACATCCTCGCCACGTTTGTGGATGAGACCAAACTCAGGCTAGGAAGAATGAAGAAACAAGCTGAAAGAAATCTCATGAAGTTCAAAGACAAATGAAAGTGTTGCACCTGGGACAGAATAATTCTCAGGAAACGGGATAGGCTGGGGGACAAACTGCATAGGGAACTGATTATGGGTTCAATTTGTATAGTTACACGAGTGGAAAATTCACCAACGCTGAAACAAGCGACTGTGACATATCACTGCAAGAACCATTTTATTTTTCCATTCAGTCTGCAAATCCCAACATGTGAACACATTTGACAAAGTATCTAGAAGTTCAGTTAGAGCTATGTGACATTTTTAACAGGAAAAAGAAGTGAACGTGTAGATCACCCTAGCTAGTGGAGAGGTTTGCATTTATATAGTTAGTAGCTAGGATGTAAAAAAAAAAAAAAAAAAACAACACCAACAAACAGCAAAAAGAAGGTGGCCCCCACCCCCGTTTCACCTTAGAGTGTGATAGAGAATTCCACGAGGATCACTTTGGGGCAAGAGTGCTTGTATTCTAGGCAGATAGGGGAGCATTAACAGTGGCGACACAGACCAACGTTAGCCCTCAGAACAGAGCTAAACTTCATGAGCAAGAATAAATGCAATGCTTGATCAACAGCTAACTCAACGTGAACCCACACAAGTTCACTACACCACAAACATGGGTTATAGCTGTAAAATGCACTGGGAAACAAAGCCCCCTGCAGTCAATTCAGCTGACTTCTTTTAAAAAATGGAAGCTGGGTTAATGTGAGATCACTTTAAAGCTCAAGTTTTGACAGCAATTAGATTGAAGCTTTTTTAAAAGATGCAGAATTTTCAGTGTTTCATGATTACTCCAGATATAAAGTTATGCAGAACCCCACAAAAAAACCCAAGGCCCTAATTAACGTAAATCTTCCCAAATACCATACCTTTTGATGGTATGCTAGCTAAGTATTTTGGCATTCTGTCTCTAGTACTGGTATACAGCATATAGCTTGGCTAGTTTCAATGCTGTCATCTTCTGGATTTCTCAGTTTAGCTACTAAAATAACAATCCAGCAGAAAACTACCAGGAAGAAATAGTGATCTTGCAGAAAAATATGACTGCACCCATTTTATAAACTGCTATCATGCTGTTATGATTCTTTCTACAAGTTAATGCATTCTAACTTCTAATACCACTTTTTGGTTTAAGTTTGCCTTTGGAGATACCGATATCTCTAACTCGTCAGAATAGCGGTAACTTTTTATTAAGGCTGAAAGAATGCAATACTCATTGCCATAGCTTGTTCGAACTTAAAAGTTTTTACATACCAAGGCAGGATACACTGCACCTTTCTTTAAAAAAGAATACATATATATAAACTAACAATCTCACCGTGTACAAGTTGCATTCTTGACCATGAAATAGATGAAAACTGAATACCTCTCTTAGATTTGATAGCTGCTAACGTATTACAGTCAGAAGAGAGGAAACTGTGGTTAGGTCAGTTTTTGAAGGATAAAGTACTTTCAAGTTTCCATCTGTGTCCACCACGCGAACCTGCTCCGCTACCAATGGAGAATTCATTTGCTGTACATTTTGGCTGGGATTCAAATTCACTGGTCCACAAAGAGCATCAGATTCATTATCTGAGCCCGAGTCTTCTTCCCTATTTTCCAAGGTGAATCTGTTTAGTTCTGCTATTTTCTGTTAAAAGCAAAATACAGAAAAATAAGATTAAAGTAAGTGTGGATACTGCATCTACGCTCTCTGAGCAGTCCAAAGTTGTTTTCGAGATACAAATCTGGCCTGCCCCTGGCGAACTCTTTGCATGAAAACATTCTTCAGTGGCTTAGAATCTTTCAGGAAATTGGAAGAACTTTTGAAGTTACCACGGCTGCATTCTTATTGGGCACCTGCTCCTTCTGCATAGCTGAACTGTGGGGGGAGTTGTTTTAAGTACCGAAGTGTCTTTGTCAAAGCACTTGATTCTAAGCAAAAAGAGCCTGCTACAGGATCACCATTGACAAGTTTGCTTTCATTGCGTTTCAAGTTGTCTCCGTTACTGCCTCACGTCAACTAGACATGCCAGTTTACCTCCACTGGTAAGTTCTAGAGCTCACATGAGCTAGATAACAAAACACATTTATTTATCTTGCAAAATACTCAACAGGATGCTATTCTGTACTGGCCGTACACTAACCTTTACCATCTTCAGTAAGAAAGCTTTCATTAAAATAAAGCATGTTGAACAGCATTTACTGAAACCGTCTCACTACTACTATAGTTTTCTTAACATAAAATTAACTACATTTGAAATAACGTGACTTTGTTTTAGGTAAATGTCTAGGTTTATCACCAAGCTCCTGGTGCATCTGCTCTTTGTATCCGAAAGATAATTCCATAATAATGCTAGGAACCAAGCAAGCTGAGGTGAGAAGCCTCCCTAAAAGAATTTTATAGTGGCCAGTGAAGCCATGAGTTCACTAACGAGGTGAAAGTGTTGAAAGTTGAGCCGTATACTTCCAACTGTGGTAACACAACATTGTTTATCCCTGGTGAGTTTTTAAAGTCTGCCAGTCACTCAGGATATACGAGTATAAAAACCTTGAGAGACAGCAAAAATAGAACAGGAAATAAATAAAGAAATCAACTCCTCTATTCTTTTCTAATACACGTGAGCACTTAAACATTTCACTAAGAAGCACCCCAAGAACGGAGGGGATTTACTGAATTACCTACCAGAATTAGCGCATCCATGACATCTTTGCATATCTGCAAACTGGTATCACTTGTCACTTCTAGAAATAGATCACACGTGCTTTTTCTAATCTGTAAGGATTTCAAAGGTAAAGCGAGTAATGAATCAGAGCATACTCATGCAGTTACTTGGCAAAATTCCCTCAGAATACATAAACTAAATGAGAGGCGTTCAGAACCACATGCAGAGTACTCCCTTTCCTTACAAGTAAAAATCTGTATTCCTGTCCTGTTCTTTGCCACTCAAAAAAGGCATATCTGCAAAGGAAAACTGGTACCTTTGCCACAGCTTCACGAATTGCAAATGTAAAATTTAACCCTTCAAGATTCATCTCAATCGGATACTCTAGTACAGAAGATCCAGGCTTTGAAGATTTGTATTTGGAATGGGACTATAAGCTTCACAGACTCGTATATATCTTGGAGCCTGGAGTTAAATGTTCCTCAGTAGGAAAAAAAAAAACACTTTTTAATTCTGATTAATGTGATTCCACTCTAACAGAGACTAGTAGTTTGTACCTTTGTTTTCTCGCTATTGGTTATTGGCGGGAAAGAAATAACAACACCTTCAGCATCCACAAGACACGGATAGTTATCTTTGCCATCCAGTAGCTGAAGATACCTGCCAAGAAAAAAGCAAAAAGGCAGTAACTGAAACAGCAGCTGGACACGTTGGCAGAAAGTAGCGACAAAACTGTTAGTGTGTTCCTGAGCTACCACGTACCACAAACAGAAATTAGAGCACCAAAATTCAACAGGATGTTATCATGGCGATACAGCTAATAACAAGAGAAAAGCCGCTAGCTAGAGGAAGCAATGGGCTAGTACTAGGAAATAACTCCAATTTTTATATCCACACTGTCAAAGCAAATGGTCAAGCTTCTAAAGCTTTCAGAAATCCCAGTGCTCAAACAGGAACGTCAGTCCATTTTCTGATTCTTCCAGCTGACTCAACTTATTTAATTTTCTCTATTACTTACTGCAATATACAGTTCTCCCACTAGGTACTGGGCAGATTTCCCCCAAGCTGCATGAGGGATGGATATGGGTAGTAATCCCTTCGTAAGCAGTAAACAGAATAAGGCAGAGTGACACTTTGCTTCAGATATAGTTCATCTGCTGTGGCGTGCTGATTTACAACACCTGTCAATCGCTTAATTTACTGAATGTGCTTGACACGTCATTTCTCTTTGGCTCCCTTTTATTTGCTATTCTATTCTTTTATTTGATGTTCATCTTTAAGGATAGTTCACGTGACATGAATTTAGTCTTGATGCAGCCAGAAATAATGGAAGTCATTCATCGAGCTCGCTATACTCAGTGTTATTGTTTGTGCAAAATTTAGCTCAACGTTTTTCACCTCAACTCCAAGAAACTCATGCTGAGTTTGTTAGCCCAATTAGCATTAAAAAACTTGTTTCGTAATACGTTTGATTGCATTTTTCTTCTATGCTCCTTTTCCACGTGAATATGAATTCGTAAAAATCACTCAAACTAAAAGGTTAGTATACTGACTTGTGCAATCCAGAGATATTTTGACGCTTCTTCTGTTTCCTCTGCTCCTCAGCTTCTAACTGCAGCTGACGGAGAAGGTCCTTTGCCTTGATCTCCTTTCGACCTAGTGGCATTATCTACACCATACAAGAAAAGCAAGCATTTGATATTAAGAGCAACTCAAATACTGCAGTTGTTAACAGACTTTTCTAAGCAAAAAGATAACTGAAACGTACTTACAACCAAATGTTTATTTCCATATACTGCATAGAATCAAACAGCGGATTCTGTCAAGCATTCAAACATATCATTGTTGCCCTTAACAGTCTTCCTAGCTATTACAGTGTAGTTAGATCGTGTACTTTATCTTGTCACCTTAGCAACACAATGGAATTCTTTGCATAAGAAAAAGCAAGTGATTTTAATTGCTTTTGAAACATCACTTATATTTCAGGGCATATCCCATGACACTTGCTGCCAGGGCTTCTTTCTTTGATCCAGCTACTTGACACAAGAAAACCACGTGCCAAGCATTTTTCCCAGCTCTGTTTAAGTACTGAAGACTGGCTCCCAAATTTTATTACTATTCATGCCATCCAGCAGATTTTACAGCAAGTTAACATACTTCACGTAATGACTACTCAAAGTCTTTTTGATTGAAGATTATTTTCTATTTGCTCATGCAGCATATTAGTCCAAATGGCCCAAGCAATTGAGATAAATGGGTTTGCATCATGACCTATGGAGTCATCTTACTAAAACTGAAGTTTCGGTAAATCCTGTATCTTTTCGCAACAGGGTTTTCTCTCTTCCAGGGAAGAAAAAAAAAAATCTCTGAGTATCTGCTAAACTGTAAACACAGAAAGGTTTTTTGTTATTGAGAAAATGCCATAATTCCTAACCTCTTTCAGTCTGGAAACCTACTTTCTATTTCACGTGAACTACTAGGATCACCTTCAGCCCAGAGCTTCACAGGAGCTACAACACCTTCTCAAAAAGCCGACTCGTTCACCAGTACTAAGACCGTTTTCTTAATCAGTTCTGTCATTGTCGTCATACATGGAAGGACATGAAAAGTTCCTGTACCGTAACAGAAGCTATGTCCAAATGGCTCTGCATACTGTCATGAAAACGAAGGCTACCTCCCTGAAGAGCAGGCTTTTTGCCCAGAAAAGTTACAAATCCAATGAGTCTAGTGAGCAGAATGCAACAAAACCCTTGGGTCAGCTCCACAGAGTCAGGATATTCTAACTATTCAATCTTCAGTGAGAGCAGTTCTGGAGGTAATGTGTTCAATGAGATCCTAAAATAGGTCTAAATAGACAAGGATCACCAGTTTGAAATAACATTTTTATATCCTGGATTGAAGTTTCATATCGAGTACAACCTAGGAGCTTGTCACATGAACGTACTGCAAATTTTTTTTCTTTGAAAGCAGTCAACTTATGAACTCACATGAACTCAACTCAACTGCAAATTTTTTTTCTTTGAAAGCAGCAACATAATTAACTGAAGAGTGGGGTAAACTAACAGAATATGATTTGATTTTAATTAGGTTGCCTTGAAGGCGGCTACCAATCGAGGTGCACTCATATGAACGAGCACCTGCTTTGCTGTATAACGCTCCAGGTACATCCTAACATGTACAGACCTCCAGGGAACATTAAGATGTTAACACCACAGCACAGGAGAAAGGGTGACTGAGGTACTGGTGTTTCACTGTTGATCCTAAGCAAAGGCACACATTAAGTGAGATCGGAACATCTGTAAAGAAAAAAAAAGTCTACGGCTGCTTTCCCTGTTAGCATGTTTAGGTTTCCAACTACTGTCACTTTAAGTCCTCGGGCAAATGCACTCTGGACTGGTCCTGGAATAACACTAAGTAGCTTTGCGAGGCTTGTTTAAGCAGGGTTTGTTAAAGCAGGAGAGCAAGAACACTAGTACAGCCGCCAAATTAAAGCTCCTGGTGTCAGTTTTTTGAGGCTCTATGAGGGTTTAAAAAAAAAAAAAAAGAAAAAGGCTGTTCTACACAGTTCCAGAAAACAAAAGAAAAAAAGAGGAAAAGGGCTACAATTGCCACCGGCCCTACCTTCAATTCACTAGGAGGCTGAACATCGTATATCAGAGGACCTTTGATCAGCTGCAAGTCATGTGTGGCAATTGTGGCTGCTGTTCGCTTTTCACAGATGTCTTCGTGCAGTTTAGTCTAAAACAAAGAACGTCATCAAAATACACCAGCATGATTTACTTCCCTCTAGAGTTCAGCATTCTTCTGTATTTAAGGTTTGTAGCGTTATCAAACTAATTTAATAATCATAATTCGGATGGTGTCTGAACGCATCCCCACACAGCACTTAATCTCTCTTCAGTTTGGAAGAGCTTTTTAATACAAAAAGCTAAGCATGGATCTCTTCTCTTTACCTGGGGAAGTAAGTTATCTGAATTACAAACCAAATATAAGGATAGTCGAACATTACATATTAATTATTTCTCCATTTGGAAAAGAGCAGTTTTAGATCAGAAAACAAACCACAAGTACACAAGCCCTGTGAAGTTGCAGGAAGCTAACACCTGCCATCTAACGGACACACGCGCAGTATGCCAACTGAACTTCTGTGCCTATGGTACCTTAGTCTGCAGCTTAAGCGTACAGAAAGAAGTTTTATCACAGATTAGAGAACTTCAAGCCAAACCAGGATAATTCTAGCATGAATGTGTGTTTATTATTAATTCTCAATAGGTTCAACGACAGTAACAAGCTGTCGTTATATAGGCAACGTGAACGCACGCATGTTCGTTGCCCTCTCATAGCAACATGTGAACTCCTACTACGTTTTTCATAAGAAACGGGTTTGGTCATTACAAACCAGGACAAAATGCTGACCAAGAGGCCTGTCACAGAGACAGGCATCAAGGGTCATTCCGCACTGCCCTCCTACAGCAATCGTATCACCTGCCGAGCGCAAGAAAAGTCCAACCTAAGTTTTTGAAAGATTTTTGGGTCACTTTCTTCATAGGAAAAAGACAGACACTGCACTTTCCTCCGAGGTTAATATTACGATAACACCGTTAATCGCATTCTCATTACAAACGGTCACTCATGTAAGACTGCAGTAGTTACCTGGGCAGAGAGAAACCTCTTCAAAGCATTTCCTGGCTTCAAGTTTACTCCTTTCAGCACGCAGCACACAATGAACGGTCGGACGTCTTTGATGCCGGGGCTCACTTTGACAGTCAAGGGCGCAGGATTTTCAGAGACATGCAGAACCTTAACCAACAGCTTGTTGATGTCTTCCAGCTCGTCTTGCTCCCCGTCCCCGCTATCCTTCTGGCGCCTCTCTCTCTTCTTTTTCCTGCTCTCCTCTCGCGCGCTCTCGGCTTTCCCTTTCCCACCTCCGCGGCCTCCCACCCGCAGATACTCCAGGATGGATTTTGTCTGGCAGCCGTTGACCATCTTCTCCAGCCGCTTGTCCTTCAGCCTGTTGCCCCTGAAGTTGACCTCCTTCAGCCGGGGGCAGTCGGCCAGCTCGGCCGGCAGCTCCGTCAGCTGGTTGTTGGAGAGGTCCAGGCTCTGCGAGAGACCCCCGGCGTCAGGCTAGGCTCCCCCCTCCGGGTCCCTTCCCTGGGACCTGGCCTTGGTCTCCCCCAGGACCCCCTCCTTCTCCCCCTGGGACCCTCTCTCTCCTCTGGGCTGAGGACCCCCTCTCTTCCCCCCTTTGGACCAGGAACCCCCTCCCTCTTCCCC